CATACATACATACATACATATATACGTGTATACATACGCACATACATACATGCATACATACATGCATACATACATACATACATACATACATACATACATACATACATACATACATACATACATATATACATACATACATACATACATACATACATACATACATACATACATACATTGGTTAATCAATATGTCAGCCACATGGCTGTGGCTCAGCAACGAGCCACAGCAACCTTCCCAGTCCCCCAGTTCTCCCCACCATTCCCCCCTTACCCGTCTCCTCGGCCTCCCAACCATTCCCCACTCCACCGTCCCCTTGTCCTCCCCACCACTGCCCACTCCACCATCCCCTCTTCCTTCCCACCATGCCCCACTCCCCTGTCCCTTTGTCCTCCCCACCATTCTCCATTCCATCCCCACCATCCCAAACTCCCCTGTCCCTTCGTCCTTTCCCACTATTACCCCTCTCCCTTGTCCCCTCGTCCTCCCACCATCTCTCACTTCCGTCCCCTCGTCATCCCCACCATTCCCCACTCCCTCGTCCGATGCCTTCCCAAATGGTTGGATGTGCCCATCAGAAAATGGGGAACATCAAGTGATCTGATGTTCCCATCACTGAAATATAAGGAAAACAGTTAAAAAAATTAAATGAAAATATGAAAAAGTAAAAAAATAAACTATACTCACGAAATGAACAGTATGGTAAACAACACAGCACAACTCCAATGCAATTCACACAAAATAATTAAATCAAAATGAAAATAAATCAAAATCTATGAAAATTAATTTTATCAATGCAATCAGAAACATTGAAATGGGATTGTAACATATTTAGTATAGCATGTGTGTTGCTTTTACATGCAAATGATGGCACTGTTTTTCAAGAAAAGTATGGTTTTACCTGTCACAGGTGTGGCATCTATACTTATACTTACGAAATGAACGGTATGGTAAACAATACAGCTCAATTCCAACACAATGTCACACAAAATAATTCAATAAAAAATTAAATAAATCGAAATCTATGAAAATAAAATTTATCAATGCAATCGGAAACATTGAAATGGAATTTTCATTTGACATATTTAGGATAGTGTATTTAGTGTATTGACATATTTAGGATAGTGTGCATGTTGCTATTATGTGCAACAGATGGCGCTGTTTTTCAAAAACGCATATTTTTACCTGTTACAGGGGTGGCATCTATATAATAGGTATATATAAAAAGACGCGCCTATTCAAATGCAACGTCATGTCAAAATTTCAAAGCATTCGGTGAAAAACTTTTGGAGATTACAGCATGTGTTGCTCTTACATCCAACAGATGGCGCTGTTTTGCAAAAAAATCATGTTTTTTCCTGTCACAGGTGAGGGATGTATATAGTAGATATATAAAGAGATGCGCCTATTCAAATGCAACGTTGTGTCAAAATTTCAAACCCATCGGTAAAGAGGTTTCGAAGATTTCCCTCACATGAAAAACACAGTTTTTCAGAAAAAAAAATGTTTATTACCGTCACCGACGTGACATCTATATAGTATATAAATAAAAACCTGCTTGGATGCGAATGGAACATTGTGTGAAAATTTCAAAGCAATCGGTGAAGAACTTTCGGAGATTAGCAGATATGCACAAACGAACATTTCCATTTTTTTTTTTATAGATTCAGCTAATAGTTCTCTATTTTCTACATTCATCCACGTTTCGGTAAGTGCAATAATATATATATTTTCTGTGCAGACAAGAGCATTTAAATCGTTTATTTTGTTTCTTAGACTCCTGCTGTTTGTGCAATATACCCTATGTGTATTCTTATTTTGAGGCCCCACTCCTTCCCTGATCGTTTTGACAATTTGTTTCTCCCACAAACACATACTTTTATTACCTCCTTTTTCCATATCAATTCCCATACCACTATCTACTAACAGTTTAAACCCAAACAAACACCTCCCACCACAGGTTCCAACCAGTTCGCAACAACAACAACCCAAGCCCTAGATAGATGTACCCCATCCCGGGTATACATGTCATTTCTTATAAAAGTGTTTCCAGTTATCTATGAATGATATTGCATTTGATTTGTAATATTTGTCCACTCGGCAATTGACACCAAATGCCCTCGACAACCATTCATTTACAACTTCATTTCTTGGAAGAGTGCCACATATGATTGGGATTCCTCCCTTGCTCCTAACTAATTGTATAGCTGTCTTAAATCTCTGTATCAGTTCCTCACATTAAACTCGTCCAACATCATTTCCACCGGCACTGATACAAATAATGGGTTTGTTCCCATTTCCAGCCATAATATCGTCCATGTTGTTAACAATGTCACCAATCCCTGCTCCCAGATAGCAAACCCTTAACCTGTTCCCCATATCTCCAGCATAAAAAGTTCTATCCAAATACCTCATCTGGGAATCTCCCACAACCGAAATTTACTTAGGAACGTCCTTCACTTTCTAAGCACCTTGGAGAACCTGCACTAACTTCGTTGCCTTCCCTTATAAGAATAAGAATGAAGGTAACTGCAGAAGGCCTATTAAACTCATACAAGGTAGTTTCTATTTATATCTACACAATCTAGATCATATATATGTACACTGAATGAGTATTTTAATTGGATATATGCTACAGGAAGGTGTTTTTGGAGCATTAATGAGACTTTCAGGGGATTAGCAGTGAGGGAGGAATAAATGTTAATGTCTGAGTGATGACATAGCTTGTTTTTGAAAATTATATGATAACAAAAAATATTTGCATGTCGTTTGGAGACTTCAACTCGGGGTTCAGTAGTATTCCCATGTCTGGGTCCGTTTCATATGAATGGGGGATAGCGGATTTCATTTTATTTCCTATGCTTGATAAACGATCCTTGAAGAAAGATTGACAAAACTTAAATTACATTCTCTAGAAAGGCTAAGAATTAGGAGAATGACATGATAGAGACGTGCAAGTGGATGAATGAACATAACAAAGGGGATATTAATAGGGTATTAAAGTATCAACATGAGACAGAACACGAAACACTGGGTATAAATTGGTTGAGTTTAGATTTAGGAAAAAGACCTGAGTAAATACCGGTTCGGTAACATGGGTGAACACTGACGCAAGTGAGATAGTTCGTGCTTTGGGTTTCTCCCCTTGTTTCATACGAATGGGAGATAGTGGATTTCATCCATTCCTATGCTCAATAAACTATCCTTGGCTGGACACTATAAATATAAAGCTCCCAGATAAGTAAGGGGGACAAACAGATCCTTCTGAATATTAATGGAGTGACATAATTGAAACGTATAAATGGAGATGAGAGGGGGGGATATTAATTTAATATGGAATAGACCTACTGCAGTTCATCTACTAGTGGCAGTTGATGATTTTGGTTAACATAGATTAGAAGTAAATACGAGATCCTGCAAAAGGCCTTCTGAAATTTCATTTTTTATGTCCAATATGCAATCATAGCTAGAAAATGATATTTGAAAATGGCAAACAGTATGGAAATACATCATTAAGGAAAACGGGCTTAATGTGGGAATATGGGGCTGAATAAGCTATCATGAAATAAATGGGTCTAATGTGGGAAGATGAATGCACCTGTGCAGATCCCCGAGGTAATGGAAAACACCCCAGAGTGGAGGAAACCCTTTATTGCCCTTGACATTAATACTGAAAATGGGAATACACCCACTATAACAGAAAACGGACTTATACAGCGGAGATGAAGACTGGCTGACATCACTGACCATTAGCGATGTCTGTGCAGGGTCGCCGAGGTAATGAAATTTAAGTGCGACCAGTTAATCTCTTTGAGTAAAATAGCAGGGGCTAGAAAGGAGCAGTTTAATCACCCTCTTTATAATGTTTTAAATGATATAAGAGAGAGAGGACCATAAATGTGTGAAAATATTAGGATACTGTGAGGTACTGACGAATAAAAATAGAAAATGCATCATGGGCTAAAACAGACCATTGGAAAAAAAAGGAAAACATCCTGCACCAATGACCGAACGTTGGAAAAAATGAAAATAACCCTAGGCCTATGACTGACCGTCGGAATAAGCAAAACGGTCAGGCATAGGCGCATTTTAATGACTGACCGTCGGGAAAAAAGTGAAAACACCCCTGGGCCGGACAGTCGGAAAAATCAAGACAGTCGGGCATAGGCGCACTTTCCAAGACAGTCGGGCATAGGCGCACTTTCCGCTACTCACCATGACATCATCATCACCACCACCAACACACCATCACCACCACCACCACATCATCAGCCACACCATCATCACTACCACCACCACCACCACCACCACACCATCACCCACCACCACCACACCATCACCCACCACCACCACCACCACACCATCACCAACATCACCCCATCATCTCCACCACCACCACCACTACACTATCACCCACCACCACCACCACAACATCACCACCACCACACCCTCACCCATCACCACTACCACCACACCATCACCAATTACCACCACCCATCACCACCAACACACCATCACACACCACCACCACCACCACCACACCATCACCACCACACCCTCACCCATCACTACCACCACACCATCACCCACCTCCACACTCTCACCCATCACCACCACCACACCCTCACCACCACCACCACATCCTCACCACCACCACCACACCACCACCACCACCACACCATCACCCACCACCACCACCACCACCACCACACTCTCACCCATCACCACCACCACCACCACCACTACACCCTCACAACCACCACCACATCTCACCACCACCACCACACCATCACCCACCACCACCACCACACCATCACCACCACCACCACACCATCACCACCACCACCACACCCTCACCCATCACCACCACCACACCCTCACCCATCACCACCACCACACCATCACCATCACCACCACAACACTATCACCACCACCATCATCACCCATCACCACCACAGCACCATCACCACCAGATGTTAACTACTCTACCCCTGCTCCTTCAGTCTTCCAGCAGTTCACGTCGACACCGTCCCTGACGCCTGACGAAGACGTCTTCAGGCACATCGCCGGAGTGTACTCCTTCAACCACGCCACCATGCACCTGGGCCTCCCCTGCAAGCCCGGCGCCCACTCCTTCTCCAACGGTACCACCAACGGCGCCGCCTGGTACCCCCTCACTGGTACGTCTGTGTGTGTGTGTGGTACCTACCTATCAGTGACGACGGGGCAGTGAGGTCTAGCTCTTCATGCCCCACCTACTGCCCTTGTTGTACCCGAGGCGTTAAAGCTTCACTACTCTAACAATCACTATCTTTGTCGAACCTTTCATTAACGTTGTGAGTGGAGGTGGCTTTCACAACCTCTTCTCTTAGTGCCTTACACTTGTTGACCTCCAGTGCAGGCTACCAGTATTTTCTTACATTTCTTACACTTGTTTGCAACTCCAGCTTCCACTTGTGTCCTCTTGTCTTACTGTCAACTGGTCTTCTTTCTCCCTTCCCCATCTTCATTACCTTACACGTATAAGGACTAAACTCCAGCAACCATTTGTTTGTCCACTCCTAGAGTGGATAAACTCCAGGAATGAGCTTTTTTCAGAAGTTTGTTAAGGTTATTCTGTAACGTTCTGCAGCCCTCCTCTGTTTTTACATTTCTCATTACATTGGCATCGTCCGCAAATATTGACATGTATGAGGTCACCCCTCGGGTAGGTCATTAACGTTAATTAGGAACAGTAGTGGTCCCAGGACCATTCCTTTCGGAACTCCACTTGTTACATTTCTCCAGCTGAAGCCCTCGCCTCTAGCTGTGACTCTTTGTATTCTGTCCTTCAGCTATTCCCTCACTCAGTTCAGTGTTTTCCCAATTATCCCAGCTTGCTTCTCCATCTTGTACACCAGCCTTTCCTGAGAAACAGTATCAAATGCCTTTTGACAGTCTAGGAAAATGCAATCTACCCAGCCTTCTTTTCCTGTCGCATTCCAATAACCTTGCGTAGAACTCGATCTAGTTTGTCCTGCATGACTTTTCCTTTCCAGATCCTTGCTACTGTTCTGCGACAAAGCTCATCTTCTCTAAATGCTCACTAGTATTTGCGACTTGATTAGTCACTAGCACTTTACAAGGAATACTTGTCAGAGACATTGGTCTGTAGTTTAGTGCCTCCAGTCTGTCCTCTTTCTTGAAGATTGGGAATACATTTGCCTTTTTTCCATAATTCTGGAAGCATTCCTGTTTCGAGTGTTTTATTAACCACCTCAGTTAGTGGGTGACGTAGTACCTATGCAGCCTCCTCCAGTAGCTATGGTAATATTAAGTCTGACTAAACTGATTTTGTTACATCTAGTTCTTTCAGGTGTTTAATAACCTATTCCACTGTGACTACTATGTCATCCAGTGTTTCCTCTGGCCTTCCGTCACTGAACTTTGGTCTCCACATTGGTTCCATTGTTCCTGGTATCTTTTGTTCAGTTCCTCACACATCTCCTTGTCATTTTCCGTAAGACTTTAGACTTCCCTTTGCATCTTTAGCCTTATCACGTGGTCTCTGACTGTTATTTTTCTCCTTATATGGCAAAATAAAGAGCTTTGGCTAGAGTGCGTACCTTTGTGGTGTGGGATGTCGCCTGCCGTGGACTGTAGTACTCGTTTTTCTTGTGGGGGCCATGTATCGCCTTGTACCCCTCACTAGTACGACTGTCGTTGTAGTATATCTTGAGGTTATCTTGAGATGATTTCGGGGCTTAGCGTCCCCGCGGCCCGGTCCTCGACCAGGCCTCGTTTTTGTTATACACCCCCAAGAAGCAGCCCGAACCAGCTGTCAAACTCCCAGGTACCTATTTACGGCTAGGTAACAGGAGCATCAGAGTAAAAGAAACATTTTGCCCATTTGTCCCCGCCTCCACCAAGGATCGAATCCGGGACCTTAGGACTACGAATCCGAAGCGCTGTCCACCTAGCTGTCAGAGTACCTTTCATTCTTGTGGGGCAAGAACTTTAAATGAAGGAAGAGTTTGTACTCACCTAATTGTGCTTGCGGGGGTTGAGCTCTGGCTCGTTGGTCCTGCACTGGAACGTTGTCATTGTTTGATTCCCACTTACTGCTACGTCTACCTGCTTGACTGCTGTTTCTTCACTCCTCTACTGCACCTGGTGATGATATATGGTCCTCCTGCATGTATTGTCCGCCGGTATTGTTTGGGTCCTCTGCCTCCCAGGCCTGAAAACTGAGTAGACAGCGCTCCGGATTCGTAGTCCTGAGATTCTGGATTCAATCCCCGGTGGAGGCGGAAGCAAATGGGCAGAGTTTCCTTCACCCTGATTCACCTGTTCACCTATCAGTAAGTGGGTACCTGAGAATTAGCAGCTGCTACGGGCTCCTTCCTGGAGATGTGTAACAAAAAGGAGGCCTGGTCGAGGACCGGGCCGCGGGGACGCTATGCCCCGAAATCATCTCAAGAAAACCTCAAGATATGAATGCCTCCCGCCTCAGGGTCTTCAACTTCCACCCTCCTTCTCTTTCTACCCAAATAGCGATGGCCTCGCTTCATGCAGGTCGGCGTTCAATCCCGACCGTCCAAATAGTTGGGCACAATTCCTTTCCATGTCCCATCCCTAATCCTTATCCTGATACCTTCCATGTGCTATATAGTCGTAATGGCTTGGCGCTCTCTCCTGATAGTTCCTTGCATCTCTGCACCATGTTCCCCTCGAGGTGAGATGCGGAGCTGCTTGTACTAACTCTGGTGGTTCCTGCAGGCGGGATGCAGGACTACAACTACGTGTGGCACGGCTGCATGGACATCACCATCGAGCTCTCCTGCTGCAAGTACCCCACAGCGGACCAGCTCCCCAAGTTCTGGCAGGACAATAAGAAGGTGAGTCTATACTTCATCTCGAATACATATTTCCCTTCCAGGTATTAGGGAGTCCGGAATCTGCAGTGATTGGCCTCTTCTTTCACCCATTTCCTTCTTTCTTTCTTTCTTCTTCTGGAGTGAGTGACTTTGAAGAACGAATGTCATATATTTCTTCCTTTGGAGTCAAAGGCACTGAAATGGCTGAGTTTGATCTTCCAGTGCTTGGCTTCTCTTTGAGACGGCTACTGCTGAGAGAATTCAAGTTACTCACTCACTCACTCCTGGGCATGTCGCCACCATCTTTTATTGTTTTATTTACTGTATATCTATAAAACGCATTATATATTACACGTGAAACTTTTCTAACTCGCTGTCTTCATACTAACGCTCTGCAGTTGAAGCTTCGGTTGACGTAAAGGAGTATACAATTATACTAATAATACAATACTAATTGTACTCATGAGAAACATACAGAGGTTATGCACTGAGAAATCACATTAACGTAATGGATCAATAAGAAAGTCAGTAGGAGCTATGGGAGGGATTCGAACTTGCACACTGCATTGTGCAGTTTCGAATCCTCCATTTGGCTTCTAGTGATTTTCTCATTATTACATTACGTTAATGTGATTTGGTTGTGCGTCTGAAGAGAAGCGTTGGAGGTGGAACTCCTGGACCACAGCCAGAGTGTGTGGTGGTGGAACTCCTGGACCACAGCCAGAGTGTGTGGGGGTGGAACTCCTGGACCACAACCAGAGTGTGTGGGGGTGGAACTCCTGAACCACAGCCAGAGTGTGTGCTGGTGGAACTCCTTGACCACAGCCATAGTGTGGTGATGGAACTCCTGGACCACAGCCAGTGTGTGTGGTGGTAGAACTCCTTGACCACAGCCAGTGTGTGTGGTGATGGAACTCCTGGACCACAGCCAGTGTGTGTGGTGGTGGAACTCCTGGACCACAGCCATAGTGTGGTGATGGAACTCCTTGACCACAGCCAGAGTGTGTGGTGGTGGAACACCTTGACCACAGCCATAGTGTGGTGATGGAACTCCTGGACCACAGCCAGAGTGTGTGGTGATGGAACTCCTTGACCACAGCCAGTGTGTGTGGTGATGGAACTCCTGGACCACAGCCAGTGTGTGTGGTGGTGGAACTCCTGGACCACAGCCAGTGTGTGTGGTGATGGAACACCTGGACCACAGCCAGAGTGTGTGAAGGTGGAACTCCTGGACCACAGCCAGAGTGTGTGGTGGTGGAACTCCTGGATCACAGCCAGAGTGTGTGGTGGTGGAACACCTGGACCACAGCCAGAGTGTGTGAAGGTGGAACTCCTGGACCACAGCCAGAGTGTGTGGTGGTGGAACTCCTGGATCACAGCCAGAGTGTGTGGTGGTGGAACACCTGGACCACAGCCAGAGTGTGTGGTGGTGGAACACCTGGACCACAGCCAGAGTGTGTGGAGGCAATGCATGAAATCCCCTGACTGGGCTTCACTGGAAGACTCAGGACACCTAGGGGATTCAGGTGACTCCCAGGTTGCTCTGTTTTTTACCATATCTTGGTGAAGTAGTGTAAGGCGTGTGTTTGGGAGTACCCAATGTGCAAATTCGAATCGTCGCCATGGTTTCTAATGAGTTTCTCGCGCATAGGTTATATTGAAATAAACTGTTAATTTCCATTTATGAATATTAATTTGTTGTTTATAACTAGCCGTTATTCACAAAGGTGTTTCCTCCTGACGCAGGCGCTGGTAAGGTACCTGGCGGAGGTGCACAGGGGCGTGAGGGGCTTCGTCAAGGACGAACATGACCGGCCGGTGGAAGGCGCCTCCATCAAGATTCGTGGACGTGACGTTGGCTTCCAGACCACCAAGTACGGAGAGTACTGGCGAGTACTTCTCCCTGGCAGATACACCATCGAGGTCAGTCCCCTCTCTTCTTGCCTTCCTCCTTCACTAACTCCTGCTGTTGCTGCTCTGTGTCTGCTGCAGCTTCCTCCTTCACTAGTGTGGGAGATTTAGTCTTAGAACAAATATTGAGATTTGTGTTAGAATCATTAATCTTACCCTTTCGATCATATTCAACAATATATATATATATATATATATATATATATATATATATATATATATATATATATATATATATATATATATATATATATATATATACTCTTACCGAAAGAGTAAGATTAATGATTCTAACACGAATCTTCTCAATATTTCTTACGTTTTTCTTCACTGTCGGGGGTAATTGAAAAATTAACTCTCCAAAGTTCATTTTCACGTTTTTATTTATAGTCTGACGCTTAAAACCGTTTCGCAAGGACTTCTCACATTTTCAAAGACAGGTTTTTACACACATCATTCCATGCTTATATTCGTTTTGGGGAGAGGTGATATGACACAAATGTTTCTGGGTGAGGTGACAAAAAAGCAAAACACGAAACAATGGGTATAATGCATATTTGTTGCTTCTATATTGCTCTTGTTGCTTCTCTGTTGGTTCGGGGTCTTGAAGTGGGTAGAATATAGTTATGTGTTAGTTGACTGTTAATTGGTGGTGTTGACCCCCTGTAGAGCAGAGGGTCTAAGAGGCTCCCCCACGAGACGCCACTGTCTTTCCCCACATGAATTAACATACAATAGCAATAACTAAAATATTTCATACAGGCACACTACAGCATTCTACATTTAACTTAAACATATATACTGGAAAACAAACATAATGGTTAATCTTCAAATAATTGAGTAAAGAATAATTTATTTATACGAATAAATTTGTTAATAAGAATATACATTTATCATGATAAACATACATGTTTATCATGATAAATGTTAGAATCAAGTATTATGAAATCATAACAGGTGGTAGGAGAAAAGCACACAGAAACTGTATTGAAGGGGACCTAAACATTCCCTCTAATGCATTATGTGTGATTTCCTCCGAGGCTAAGGTTTCCAGCCGGAGATGGTTCTCCCTTTCATATTAATATACATACACATATATATATATATATATATATATATATATATATATATATATATATATATATATATATATGTGTGTGTGTGTGTGTGTGTGTGTGTGTGTGTGTGTGTGTGTGTGCGGAAAATCCACAGAGAGAAACGCAAAAGAAAGATGAACGTTTCAGCCGATCTAGGCCGTTGTCAACACCAGACTACAAGAAATCACATAGGAAGAGTGGAGGCTAACACTAGAGCCTGATTACCATCACTTGGAAAAGAATTAACCAGAAAAAGGTATAGATTAGCTTAGAATGGTCAAAAGGATTTAAGCGGTAAGAATAAAAGATTAAAGAAAAAGCCTCATTGAACACACATAAAATAAATGAATATCTTATTGTTGAGACATTGTAACTCTCCCTATCATAGTTTTTGCTTAAACTGTTGTGCAATATTGTAACTTAAAACTTATTCAAGTTTGTACATACCAGTACTAACATTGATAAGATTAAGACATTGACTAATTAGGGCAGACTCAATTAAATTCCTTTCCACACAGCCATTGCAATTGGTAATGCTTTTCGCTCCATCCCAATTAATAGTGTGATCACACAAACTTGTGTGTAGATACAAAGTATTAGACGTTTGGGCAGTTCTTATACTATAAGCATGTTGGGACATACGTAATTGTAAGGATTTTCCTGTTTGTCCAAGGTACACAGACTCACAATCATTGCAGGGAATTGAATACACACAACCTGCTGTACCAGGGGAATTTTTTTTATTAAATTGGACTTGATCGTATTATTAATGAACACCAAATTGGTATTTAGGTTCTTAAAAACCTTTAATGGTTTCATAACCATGTCCCCAAAGCGAGACAGAAATTAGAAACTAAATGGTGGTACCTTATGCGAGGGGATTTTAGAAACTTTCTACAATAAAATCTTAAGTCTCATTTTAGTCTCAGTTTTAAGTCTCATTTTTATTCCTATATTTGACTATATTTATTCTATATTTGCCTCATTGAAAAAAAAATAAAAAAGTGTCTAATTTAATTTTCATAGTTTCCTACCTTGTGCTTTAAAATTGCACTGTATCTAGTGCTACCCAATCCCCCAATCTTTATTCACCTAATCCAAACAACTTTACCATTGTGATCATTGCTATCTTCTTTTATGTGCTATCAAAATGCTGAATTATGCCTATTAATCTTTGTTAAATTACCACTCAAGCTGTCAATGCAATCAATCAGAGCTACTGATGTGCTTTAATATACCTACTAATCTCTTTCATCTCATTTTTTTTCTTGCAAAGTACCTGCTATCATTATATAAATTTTGCTAGAATTTACCTACTTAAAATCATATGTTAGATTAAGGACCTGCCCAAAACGCTGTGCGTACTAGTGGCTTATGTATTATAAATAAATAAATAAATTACTTATTGTTACACAGCCAAATTGTGTAACAGGAAGAGGTCTTGGACCCCTACTTCCCCCTCTCTTTTCTAACAGGTCATAAGTCCATATAGTCATAATTATAGGTTTAAGTATTCAATGTGAGAAGTTTTAGAAGTTTTTACCCTTCTTACCTAACATCATTTGTGCAGTGGGGTATTTGGTGATAGTAAATGCTCCCACCAGCTACCTTCTCTCATATTTCATGTTCACCAGTGTTTATTTACTTAATAACTACTGGTACAATATCTTGCTATTATAAAACTAATTCTAATATCATAAAAGACATATTTACTACAAATTTCAAGCAGAGAATGCATATATAACTAACACGAAGGACTCCTCTTCCCGAGATTCGTCAACTAAAATCTTTTGTTTATATTAAAATCTATCCTCCGTGTTGTGTAGTAGAGAAAAATTGAGTTATATCCAGTTTACATAAAGCTACGAGTGGTCGAGAGCAACTTTAGCCGACGGAGCATATTTACAAAGATTTTCCTCCTTAGTATGCCTTCCTGAATACCGACGTAGCCGCTAAGAAGAAAAACATTCGTAAGCTGCTTCGTGAATCTGGCCTCTGGCTATCATTCTGATTAATCTACTTTACATTTACATATGCCAAATGCAAAATTTCCATATTCCTTTCTCTTAGGTAACATTCCCTCAAGCAACCTATACATTATACATACATTAAGCAACCATTCCCTCTCATGTTTAATTCCATATGCATATGGTAGCTTGCAACACAAGCAATTTTAATAGTTATGGCTAGGACCTAAGCCTAGTCCATAACAATCTCCATTAAACTTTTCTCCTCGTGTTCGTGTTTATTATCCTGCATTATCATTTATATATTGTTTACATAAATGATAATGCAGGATAATTCCTACCCTGGCTTTGTGCCCAGGAGAGGCCATTCCAGATCATCACCAGAGCGCAACTTCAGTCTCCTGAAACTGATGGATGCCTACTACTATTGTTTATGGTTTTCTCTCTTCCCCAGGTATACGCTGAGGGCTTCGACCCTCGGGAGGAGGACTTCACGGTGGTGGAGACCAACCCAACACTCCTCAACCTGACCCTCTACCGCGCCTCTGTGAGTTCACACCCTCAAATCCTCCCATTTTCTCTATTCTTTTAAATTGCTCGATTTATCAATGAACTACGATTCGTGGCTTCTCAAGTGTTGAACTACGATGACCAACTTTTGAAGGACAGTAGCTTCTGTGTGTTAAAGAAATACCTCTCGAGTGTGACACTTTAATTCTCAAATGCGTTAACATAACGATAGATTTAATGACAGACATAGTCTTATTTGCTGCCACACAGAGCTTTATGGCAAGACATCACCCCTTCAAGATCCACGATATAATTAGTATGATTGTCTCGCAGAGACTGTAGTAAGAAACTGTACCTCATTGAGTCCATCATTACCTCATTAGGAGGATAGAAATAGCCTAAGCTACTCTATCTCTTTGAGATGTATTTTATTGTCTCAATAAATGCACTTGAACATGATTACTTCATTGAGTCCGTCATTATTCTTGGAATCCCTTTCCCACCGAAGTCGCAAATGCAACAGTTCAAAATTCAACTGGAAAAAGATCATAAAAAATTATAGGCAACTTCGGACAGGCCACTGGGTTCCTATCCCCCGTCGAGACCACTGGAGTGGGTGGCCCTTAGGTAATATTTAGGTAAATTACCTCTTCGAGTACAACCTTATCCTACGACCAGCCAATCCATGTGATATCCTACGACCAAACAATCCATGTGACATCCTACAACCAAACAATAAATGTGATATCCTACACCCAAACAATCCATTTGATATCCTACAACCAAACAACCTATATTATACGACCAAACAACGCATGTGATATCCTACGACCAACCAACCCATGACATCTCAGATCATCCTTGACCATTTTCACACATCGTATATTACTGGTGGCCATTCAGCGTCCAATGTTATCATGGACCACCGGGGCGAATTCAAAGTTATCCTAGAAAACCAGGGCAACTCCAGGATTTTCTTGGAGCGGTAAAGTGAGTCCAATGTTATCTTGGACCACCGAGAGTAGGCCACGGTTATCTTGGACCACCTAGAGGAGGCCATGGTTATCTTGGACCACCGAGAGGAGGCTACGGTTATCTTGGACCACCGGGGCAAGTCCAGCCCGTCACCGCAGTCCACCTGGGCTGCGGCTCCTATGGTCACTTGCGACATTTACAAAGACACGTCCTCCGTCAGTACAAATGTGTGACATTCTGTGTTTACTGTGATGAACGCATAATTGTTCCTGATGAACATATGCTTATCTAAGCTATAGTTCCTGGACATTATAAGTACAATTGTTCATCGTTCTGAACACTCGTGAATTCTAACATGAATAAAATATTTTAAATAATATTTAAACTCGTGGATGATAATACTAACTAATAATTAAGTAGCCTGTTATAATATCAATGTGTGGTGGGCTTGCTATGGGGGAACTGGTACTACTAAGGGGTAAGGGTAGTTAGAAGACAGAGTATCAAATATGGGAGAGCTAAAAGGCCCGGCCCCCAAAATAAACTATCCACAGTAATAATACCTTGCTACTAGACCATATATGTCAGTCTAAGGGTTGATCAATGCGCTCCCACACAGGAAGAAGGGATACTCTATAATTCATGTACTTATTTATTAATCCCTTAACAACCCCCCATATACACTCACACCAATAACAATAATAATAATAATAATAACTTTACCACCCTATCTTACGTTAAAAGCCTTGGTCCACATAGACAGGATACAAGGTTTACACTGAGAACAAGCTAGGGTAAAGTACTACTGGATAAGCACTGAAGCTGGATGCAGCTTAGGGTAGTGAGACCACGTGGTACCCTAATACAAAACACAACACTTAGGGGTACCCAAAACACTGGCAAATAGGTCTCACCAACCCAGGTCTCACCAATCGTTACTACCAGAGTAGGCACACTGAAAACATCATACTTAACTTAATGGTACAGGAACTTAAGGTAAGGGAAATAAGTAAGAGGAGAAGGGAGGAGAGTAGGGGCGCAGCCACAGAGTAGGTCTCGTCCCCACGAACGCCAGCCAGAGAAGAACGCTCCTAGCGAGCTAGGCCTCCCACATGTCGTGGTGCCGGAAGGAGCCTAATTGATCGTGCAGCTAAGCACATTAAAGATCTTCCCCTATGCAACGTATTGTTACTTTACAAATGATTAGAAAGTATTAGTAAGCAAAGTTGGTGCCTATGTTATTATTTAATAATCAACCCCCAGCTCAGTCTTTAAATGCTTTTTGAGAAACAATAATAGTCTTACGTCTGGCAGGGAAGATACAGACAATGACGCATAGGGTTGCGTTCAGCTATACTATAGTTAAGTTTAATAACTCAATTTTGACCTCTGGTTTCCACTAAAGAACCCAGGGTCATAACACTCCTCCCCCCTTCAGAGAAAAAAAAATGTGACTACTAGAATAGTAGTCATATTTTTTTTTTGTAAGAGTATACAGAGAATAAGAAGAAAAATATATGACAAAAAAAAAACAATCAAAAACAACAATTTCTCTGCAAGAAAAATACAAAGGAGTTCTCTGAAAGAAAAAAAAAACATACAAAAAAAAAACAGGGAAGTAAATAAATTGGACACGGAATATTTAATGTCACAGGAGAACCTAAAAAAAAAAAATAACTAAAGCATGACAGTTGGTAAATGGCTTCCTGTGGCCCAGATGAATGTTATTCAGGCAACCGGGACAGAGCGTCGGCTATCACATTGAGTCGGCCCGGTAGGTGGGGTAATGGAAAGATTGAAGTCCTGTAGGTACAACGCCCACCTGAGGATGCGTTTATTCTTACCCTTCATCTGAGTCAGGAAGACTAGTGGGTTATGATCCGTGTACACTTCCACTATATTACCTGTGAGGTAAACTTCGAACTTTTTACATGTTAACACTAGCGCCAACGCCTCTTTTTCTACCACTGAATAATTGCGTTGCGCCTTGTCGAATTTCACAGAGTAATAATATACTGGGTGTTCCACTTTATCATCCCCAGTTTGCAACAACACTGCACCAGCACCCGAGTCAGACGCGTCCACATGAATTTTAAACGGTCGATCGAACCTTGGACTAGCAAGCACTGGGGCGGAAGCTAAGATCAATTTCAAATTTTTAAATGCCTCTGCACAGTCTGATGACCACTTAAATTTAACGGCTTTCCGCAACAAGTCTGTGAGAGGGGTGGCAACACTGGAAAAGTTCTGACAAAAACGTCGATAGTATGCACACATACCGATAAATCTTTGAATGTCCTTTTTAGACTTTAGTACTGGATACTCCAGAATGGCACTGATTTTATCTTGCCGAGGTAACACTTTTCCTTGGCCCACTTCATAACCGAGGTACGTCACTGTGCCTTGGCCAAAATGACACTTTTTAGCATTTAAGGTAAGATTTGCCTTTTTCAAGATTGCGAACAACTGGCGTAACCTAGCTATGTGGTCAGCCCAATTACTGTCAAAGAGCACGATATCATCTAAATACGCCCGACAATTTGGCACCTTAGCGAGCAGAGAGTTCATGAGTCTCTGGAACGTGGCAGGAGCATTACGCAAGCCGAACGGTAACACTTGATACTCAAAAACACCCTCGGGTGTCACGAACGCAGTTAGTTGTTTAGCACGTTCAGTGAGTGGGATTTGATAATACCCCCTCGAGAGGTCGAATTTCGAGACGTACTTGGCGTTTCCCAGCTCGTCGATGCAGTCCTCGAGGAGGGGCAGCAGATAGGCATCCACAATGGTCACCTTGTTGAGCTGCCGATAGTCGATGCATAATCGCCAGGAGCCGTCTGGTTTGGGGACCAAAAGGCAGGGCGAGCACCAAGAGCCCTAGCTCGGCCGGATGAGGCCGTGCTGGAGCAAGAAGTCGACCTCCTTCCGTACGATGGCCTTCTTTTCTGGACTCATTCGATAGTGTTGAAGGCGAATGGGAGTGTAGTCCGTCAACTCAACATCATGGCAAATGGCATCAGTCTGGGTCGGGACTTCCCCGAACAGACTGGAGAATTCATCAACCAACGACTGCACCTCTTCACGTTGGGCCATCTGCAAATGGGACAGTCCCTCCACAGCATTCACAGAACTAGAATTATTGAAAATGAGATTAGTTGGGTCCCCAGAACAATCATCCCCTCCCTCACTGGAAATGGAAACATTGGTTAGTGCAATGGGCCTGGGGCCCTGGAACTTCTTCAGCCGATTTACATGTACGAGCATTACCTGGTTACGTTTGTCAGAGTGCCTCACTTTGTACGTGAGGTCCCCAGTCTTTTCTGTCACAATGTAGGGACCTTCGTACTTGTGGGACATAGTGTTCCCTAGTCGAGGCTTTAATACCAGGACAGGGTCGCCAGGCTGAAATACCCGTAACTTAGATTTAGCATCGTTACGTTCTTTCATCTTTTCTTGGGCCTTGCCAAGATAATTTAATGCAGCCGCCTTGCAGTCCTTGAGTCTCTGGTGGTGTTGCGCAAAGAAAGCCGAACCTTCGGTTAACGTTACGTTCCCTAACAGATTCTCCTGTAACATTTGCAAGGGTCCACGAACTTTATGGCCAAAGACTAACTCAAAAGGAGAACAACCCAGTGAACTTTGTAATCCCTCTCTAGCCGCAAACAAAACGTATGGCAAATTCTCATCCCAGAAGGTGTGGGAACTCTCGCACGATGTCTTCAACATCTGCTTCAGAGTTAGATGGAAACGTTCAATTACCCCCTGATTACCCCCTGACTCTGTGGATGGTATGGGCTGAAAACCTTATGAGTTATTCCATGGTCCTTACAAAATTGCTCAAAAATATCAGACTTAAAGTTAGTACCATTGTCAGTTTGCACGACCCGAGGCAGTCCAAAAGTGGAAAAAAATTGCAACATACGAGCAACAACAGTTTTTGCTTGGATGTTCCTTACAGCAAAAGCCTCTGGGTAACGAGTAGTGATACACATCATTGTGATTAGGTAAATATTACCAGACTTAGTTCTAGGTAATGGTCCAACACAGTCCATTACCACATGAGAAAATGGTTCTTCTGGCACAACAATAGGCCTTAGAGGAGCTTTAGGTGCAGTCTGGTTTGGTTTCCCAACCAGTTGACAAACAATACACGCATTACAAAATTTTGCCACATCGCTTTTCAGCTTGGGCCAGAAAAAATACTTTAAAATTTTGTTATACGTAATATTAATACCTTGATGTCCCCCCATAGGATCATCATGAGCAGCTGCCAAAATTCTTTCTCTATAGCAGGCCGGCAACATAACCTGGTGGACTACCTCCCACTCATTTGACAAGGGAGCACTCTGTGGTCTCCATTTTCTCATCAAAATCCGATCATTGTAGTAGTACTCAGTTGCTGCGTCTACAATTTCCTCCATAGAGACGGCTGTCTCATGACAATCTGCAAGAGTGGGGTCAGCTTTCTGTAACTCACTCAAGGAGGCATCTAGGCCTTGGTCAGATGCCATTGGCCGAGGCTCAACAGTGTTCTCCTCCACCTCCCCACTACTCTCGGTAGATGGCGGTGGCAGGCTCTCCACAATGTCCTCGGCCACGTCATCGAGTCGGGCCATGAATGTGTCCGCGAGGTCCACTTGGCTTTCACCACTCGGAAAGTTCCTCGTGTCCTCGGGATTTACCACCTTGGCAAGCACAGGGCTGCCCTTACATTTAAGTCCCATAGACCTGGTCACTGCGCACGCAGGGTACACAACATTATCCTCTGCGGCGGGTGGATCCAGGCAAACCTTAGGGGTAGGCAACATAATAGGCAGTCTGGAGTCCCCTACCTTATCCCCTGCTAAATCATTACCAACTATTACATCAACATTAGGGAAAGGTAGGTATGAAGTGACTCCGACTGTACAAACACCCTTGTGGAAATCAGATTCCAGGGTAACTTTATGGAGGGGTACTGCTCGAGTATCACTAGTGACACCCTCGACCAGTACCACCTCTCCAGTGTCGAGAGTGTTGGCACCTTGCAACGCACTCTCTAAAATTAAAGTCTGGATGGCACCGGTGTCTCGGAAGATCACCACGTCCTTCCAGGAAGAACCCTCAGACAAAAGTAGTCTCCCTTTTGATAAGAATGGGGTAAGCAAATCCAACCACTGTGGGTTGGAGGTCTTACTCCCTAACCCTTCCGAAGGCCTCAAGCCCTGTGTCACAACTAGAGCATTGGGTCTTTTTTCCGGGTACAGTTGCCAACAACGGCTAATAGTGTGGTTTGGACGTTTACAGTGACCACAGAAACGTCGGGGAGAAGAGACATTACTAACAAAATTACCCTTCGGTTCACCCTTAGGTGCCGTGGGGCTAGACACTTTAACAGGGTTAGTTATGTCTGAAACAGAAGGTGCAGTAGGTAAAGGGTTAGAATAAGCTGGTCTGGACTGGCTGTGGGTATAAGTTTTGCTACTCTGTGGGGTATAATTATTTTTATTGGGCCTTTTGCCCACCAATTGGTAGTTTTCTGCCATCTTGGCCAAATCCCCTATCTTAGAATTTACCTCTATCCTACTTCTAATGTAATGTGAAACATTCTCTGGCATAATATCTATAAAATGCTCCATTAAAACTAAGTTCCTGAGAGCCTCGTATGTTTTGGCTTTCGCCGAGCGAATCCATTTATCAAACAATCTAAATCTAATCTGCCCGCAAAATACGTTCCCTGACTTCATCATGTTCAAAACACTCGTCGTCAGGCATGTTTATAAAAATATCTTGTGCTTTACCCCTAAGTCTTCCCTGTAGGATTTTCACCCACTTTTCCTTTGGCCAGTTCATGGACATGGCCAATCTCTGAAAATGGTTGAAAAACCTTTCAGGGTCTGACTGAAAATTCAGGCAAGTTATGCTTTTTCTCATAATGCCTGGGGTTTGAATCCTCGGCAGGTGGAGGTCCAGTGGCATTCGCTCTAATTCTAGCCTCCTCAGTTTTGAGTCTTTGTTCCTCTAATTTTATTCTTGCTAACTCTAGAGCTAACTCTCTGTCCCTATGAGCCGCACTTTCCGCTTGGCTAGGCTGGCATAATTAAAGGTGTATCACTTTCCAATAGTTCTTGATCAATACAATGCTGTAATATTTCATTCACCAAAGTCCACTTTTTATCCGCGTCATTTAATTCTAGGCCAAATTCCTTGCCTAACAATACTAAATTAGACTTGGTAAGTTTCTTTATCTCTACCGCTGAAGGCTCCCTTGCCAGTCTCTGCATTTCAGATGACATCACTAATAATTTTAGCTCCCAGCCAAAGAAAAAATTAAAAATAAAAATTGAAAAAAAAAAAAAAAATTTGCACGGCCCCTAACACAAGGCCACACTAACCTTAATCGTGAAGGGATCCAGCTGGGTGTCCAGTCAGTGCAAGAATGTCCTTTGCTAGATGAGCTGGACCCTAGGCTAGCACACAACCGTTCTGCGGAAAACAAAAAATTTTAGCTTTGGCACTCAAGAATCTAATTTTTTACACTTATAAAGTTCCTCCCGGACTGGCCAACCACTTGTTATAATAAATGGTGGTGGGCTTGCTATGGGGGAACTGGTACTACTAAGGGGTAAGGGTAGTTAGAAGACAGAGTATCAAATATGGGAGAGCTAAAAGGCCCGGCCCCCAAAATAAACTATCCACAGTAATAATACCTTGCTACTAGACCATATATGTCAGTCTAAGGGTTGATCAATGCACTCCCACACAGGAAGAAGGGATACTCTATAATTCATGTACTTATTTATTAACCCCTTAACAACCCCCCATATACACTCACACCAATAACAATAATAATAATAACTTTACCACCCTATCTTACGTTAAAAGCCTTGGTCCACATAGACAGGATACAAGGTTTACACTGAGAACAAGCTAGGGTAAAGTACTACTGGATAAGCACTGAAGCTGGATGCAGCTTAGGGTAGTGAGACCACGTGGTACCCTAATACAAAACACAACACTTAGGGGTACCCAAAACACTGGCAAATAGGTCTCACCAACCCAGGTCTCACCAACCGTTACTACCAGAGTAGGCACACTTAAAACATCATACTTAACTTAATAGTACAGGAACTTAAGGTAAGGGAAATAAGTAAGAGGAGAAGGGAGGAGAGTAGGGGTGCAGCCACAGAGTAGGTCTCGTCCCCACGAACGCCAGCCAGAGAAGAACGCTCCTAGCGACCAGCTAGGCCTCCCACATGTCGTGGTGCCGGAAGGAGCCTAATTGATCGTGCAGCTAAGCACATTAAAGATCTTCCCCTATGCAACGTATTGTTACTTTACAAATGATTAGAAAGTATTAGTAAGCAAAGTTGGTGCCTATGTTATTATTTAATAATCAACCCCCAGCTCAGTCTTTAAATGCTCTTTGAGAAACAATAATAGTCTTACGTCTGGCAGGGAAGATACAGACAATGACGCATAGGGTTGCGTTCAGCTATACTATAGTTAAGTTTAATAACTCAATTTTGACCTCTGGTTTCCACTAAAGAACCCAGGGTCGTAACATAGCCTAAACTTGGTTTATAAATCAACGTTGTATACTGCACTTGTCAACAGGAGAGAATGGGACGAACATGACCCCTGTTGCATGGTCTTGTTTAGTCGAGCACCGTCCCTGTACTCGCCTAGTTGTACTCGCCTAGTTGTGCTTGCGGGGGTTGAGCTTTGGCTCTTTGGTCCCACCTCTCAACCGTCATGGTTGAGAGGCTCAATCACTCAACTGTGAGGTCTTTGGGATGCACACAGTCTTCCTCACTCTCACACTTGTTCCACTACATGTTGTACCACTAAAAGTTGTACCGTTAAGTGTTGTACCACTAGGTGTTGTAGCACTAGGTGTTGTACAACTGGGTGTTGAAGCACAAGGTGTTGTACCACTAGGTGTTGTAGCACTAGGTGTTGTACAACTAGGTGTTGAAGCACAAGGTGTTGTACCACTAGGTGTTGTACCACTAGGTGTTGTACCACTAGGTGTTGTACCACTAGGTGTTGTACCACTAGGTGTTGTACCACTAGGTGTTATACCACTAGGTGTTGAAGCACAAGGTGTTGTACCACTAGGCGTCGTACCACTAGGTGTTGTACCACTAGGTGTTGAAGCACAAGGTGTTGCAGCACTAGGTGTTGTACAACTAAGTGTTGTACCATTAGATGTTGTATCACTAGATGTTGTACCACTGGATGTTGTACCACTAGATGTCTCCATATGTCTGGTTACACCTTATGATCTATTAAGCATATACAACAATGGTTATTGTGTATTAAATATTCCATGCATCAATATATTAGTGTTGAAGCACATGTACTTGTGTCACAAAGTAGTGTTGAAGCACATGTACTTGTGTCACAAAGTGGTGTTGAAGCAGATGCACTTGTGTCACAAAGTGGTGTTGAAGCAGATGCACTTGTGTCACAAAGTAGTGTTGAAGCAGATGCACTTGTGTCACAAAGTAGTGTTGAAGCAGATGTACTTGTGTCACAAAGTAGTGTTGAAGCAGATGCACTTGTGTCACAAAGTAGTGTTGAAGCAGATGTACTTGTGTCACAAAGTAGTGTTGAAGCAGATGTACTTGTGTCACAAAGTAGTGTTGAAGCAGATGCACTTGTGTCACAAGGTAGTGTTAGAAGGACATGTTGGAGTAATAACTGACTTCTCCCCACAGCCGCCGCCAGACGCCCAGCCGTCAGCACCTCACCAACACCCAGCACAGCCTACAGCCGGGGTAAACACACGGCTTTCTCGCTCCCTCCCTCCTCTCTTCTCCCCCCCCCCTCCCGCCTCTCTCTTCTTCCCTCCCTCCCGCCTCTCTCTTCTTCCCTCCCTCCCTCCTCTCTTCTTCCCCCCCTCCCGCCTCTCTCTTCTTCCCTCCCTCCCGCCTCTCTCTTCTTCCCCCCCTCCCGCCTCTCTCTTCTTCCCTCCCTCCCTCCTCTCTCTTCTTCCCTCCCTCCCTCCTCTCTTCTTCCCCCCCTCCCGCCTCTCTCTTCTTCCCTCCCTCCCGCCTCTCTCTTCTTCCCTCCCTCCCGCCTCTCCTAACCCTTCTTCCCTCCCTCCCCTCCTTCCTTCCTTCCTCTCTTAGAGGGAGGGTATTAGTGGGTTATGATGAATATGCACATGTAACTATACCTGGTGTTCGTATTACAGGGGTCATGATGAATATGCACATGTAACTATACCTGGTGTTCGTATTAGAGGGGTCATGATGAATATGCACATGTAACTATACCTGGTGTTCGTATTAGAGGGGTCATGATGAATATGCACATGTAACTATACCTGGTGTTGGTGTTAGTGGATTATGATGAATATGCACATGTGACTGTACCTGGTGTTAGTGGGTTATGATGAATATGCACATGTGACTGTATCTGGTGTTAGTGGGTCATGATGATGCACATATGACTGTAACTGGTGTTAGAGGGTCATCATGATGATGCACATATGACTGTAACTGGTGTTGGTGTTAGAGGGTCCTTATGATGATGCACATATGACTGTACCTATCATACATTTAGTAGGCTTAGGATTTATGAGAGGTAATGTTATAAACTTTACTGTGAACTCTGAAGGCAGTGAACGTGTCTTACTCTGCTCCATATCAGTAGGGAGATTAAGGACGTAGAGCATGTGCATGCTCTACGTCCTCAATCTCCCTACTCATTTCTTGGACCATTGTATCAATAAAGGTGTTCTTCCCTGCAGGCACCCCTGAGCAAGCCCACCATCTTGAGCACCCTGGCTGTTCTATTTGCTGTCGCTCACTGAACCAATGGATAAACTAATTAAGTCGACAGATATGTACAGTTTGTGCTCTTTACTGCCACCAGATGGAGTGCACTCTGTTAACAACGCATCTTTTGTTTCCATTCACTGCTTCGCTTAGCGTGGCAGAGGTTACAGAGTTACAAAGTTACATATCAGCAAGTTTACACCGCCAAGCATTCCGGTTTCATTTACATGGACATTTGTTTGTCAATGCCATAGACTTTAGTCTACTGGATTTTTTTTATAGCATATCTGAAGCAATTTGTGGTATTATGAACATATTATTCTTTAGCTTCTGTTCGTAATTATTAATCTTTGATATAATGATGATTTGCTCCATAACTATAGCCTTATGTGACATGCGTTAGATAATGAAGCTCACTTTAATATTATATGGTAATGGTCTTGGCTGTGATATAATATTGACATTTTTTAAACCGCGTCTGTAAATGTATTTTTATCTTCGTATGTAATTCTTGATGTTTTTATGGATTCTGAATACTTTTTAACAATATGAACATAAATGGCGAGCAGTTACTGACAGCATATTTTAATAGTTAAAATATTGAGCAAAAATTATGTCAGTGAGTTACAAGAAAGCCTTGATTATTTTATACAACCTTTCAATTATACAACTGTTGCAAATCTAGTCATATCTGCGAAAGTCTGAATACAGCAGGAATTCATGAGACTGAGGATTGCTCAGGGGGTAGAGATTGCAGGCAACAATGGCAACCCAGCAGCAGTGGACAGGAGACGTCGGATTAAGGGAGAACTCCTCTATATGCATGGTAGCCCTGTTAAGGTTATTCTTCATGGTAGATTAGTTGCATGTCGAAACCCGTCTTTAGACCAAGTCTATTCCATCCAGCAGTCGACCCCAAAGATGTATTCATCAATGTTAACATACTACTCATTCAGAATAGGAATGTTCTCAAATACGTAAATAAATATTGTTATTTATAAGCATACTGTGCATATTTAGGTATTGGTTGGTTAGGCTAGGTGTTTAGGTTCTGTTGGAGATTATTTGTATTTGTAGTACATGGGTGAAGCATTTGCAGCGTTGTAATGACCATACCACACACTAGAAAGTGAAGAGATGACGACGTTTCGGTCCGTCCTGGACCATTCTCACAATCGACTTGTGAGAATGGTCCAGGACAGACCGAAACGTCGTCGTCTCTTCAGTTTCTAGTATGTGGTATGGTCATTATATTTCAGCCACTTTATTGTGACTCCTCATCTGCACTAAGCGTTGTGGTTCAAACAAAAGTCATCAGAGAAGTACTTGTTCCAGAATTGTTCAAATGTCATCAGCTTTGCAGCCTATCTTCATAAACAATGGCCAAAGTTCATTCCATGCTCCCTCCAAACCCCCTGTTTATGATTAAAAAACGTTTTTCACATGACTCACAACTGATGACGTTCGAACACTTCCGGAACAATTGCTTCGCTGGTGACTTTTGTTCAAACCACAATGCTGTAAATGCTTCACCCACGTACTACAAATACAAATAATCTCCAACATAACCTAAACACCTAACTTCACTAACCAATACCTAAATATGCATAGTATGCTAATATAATAATTTCAATTTATATTTGAGAAAATTCCTATTTTGAATTAATAATATGTTAAAACTGATGAATGAGTCTTTGGGATCGACCGCTGAATGGAATGGACTTAATCTGAGGACAGGTTGAGTTGTGTGTAAACCGTTTTCATTCAAAAACAGAGGGTTTGGCAGGTGCATGGAATGTCGTTGTTGTTGTTAAAGATTCGCTACCTGAAACAAAAAGTTCTAGGTAACACGGGCTATGGTGCATGGAATGAATTTTGGCCTTTGTTTATGAGGACGGGCTGCGGTGGTGGTGGTGATCCATGTACAGGATATTTAGCATGCACTAATGAATATTTCGAGGGCTTTAGAGACTGCCATGACCTGCTGGTGACCGCCAAATACTGTTTTTTAACGTATTGTAGTGAAAATCCCTGTCAATGAGATTATTTTATTTACTGGATAGCATTGAGTTGGAGATAAGTTCATTGTAACCTGCAGGTGATGTCACTTTTAAAGGGCAAATTAAGATTTGTTTTAAATGCTTACTTAATTCTTGTTGTTCCATAGAATGTCATATTATATATTCTTCTACCCCTTATGCATGTGCTCACCATTATGCAATCATAGGCGTAGTGTATTAAAATCATCGATTTCAGAGAATAATGTGCCCATTTCAATGTTCTTTCCATACTATATCTGATATAATGTATGTCCTGCTTTTTCTTCAGCATGTTGATTATTTTGCTGGTCATATTTGCTTATTTTTGCATATTACACATAAATACCTCGACTCAGGCGCATATATTACTGCATGCGTGTTGTGTTTTATATACTATTTGTGAAATACTGCTGTTAATTGTATATTCCAGAAATATTTTAAATTATTTTAATGAAAATCTGCACACTTATCAGTCACTTATAAATATCCAAATACCAGTAACTTTATTTTATTATTATTTAGCTCTGCAAACGAACATCTGTTTTTTTACTTAGAATGATCAATTAAACATTTAAAACTTTCCTGAATTTATCAGCTTTGAAATTGAATATAAAAGTGTTTCACTGAGTATACAGTAGATGGGCGTGGCAAGGTTTCTGTTAATTAATAACTTGCCATAACAACTACTGTAGGTACGGCAGCTTAGTTGTCAACATTTAATGCAGCATCCTTTTAAATTATTCAGTTTGTAGTAAGTATGTAAGTAAAGTAAGTTAAATAAGTAAGTTAAATCTTTCTCCTCACATTTTCTTAAAATCACAAGTCACTTTCAGCAAATCATTCTCCTAATTTTCCAAATATTAAATGCACTGTAAGATCAAATGCTGTTTTCCTTGTACGCCAAGCACTATACATCTTTCACCCAGCACTACACCAGGATTTCACACATTTATAGTGTGAAGTGATCTGTGGACGAATTTGAGTTAACTGTTCTATCTTCAATAGCTAGATTTACATCTTCCAGTTGACCTTCAGTGCAACGTACTGAAGTTATACCTTTCAGTTGTCAGGCTATACTTAATTCTAAGTTTATATAATTCCATATTTGTTCATACAATTTCAGTTTTATATATTTATTTTATATATTTATTTTTGTTGCAATATAAATTGTTATCATAATATGGTAGCTACAGATACCATAATATAGCATTTTTGCTGACCTGACTTCATTAGTTGCTGCTAATGTACCCCTGAATTGTGGTTATTGGTCACAATACTGCCAGCTCAAAATTACTAAATTCAGTTTGTTTTAGTGAAGGCATTTGAGCTTAATTTATTTTTTATTTTTTTGCACAATCATTAAACAATTCCCGTGCAGGAATTTCCCTGAAAAAAAATTGTTCTAATATGAATGAGAGTGCAAATTATTCAAGAATTTTTCCTGCAATTTTCAGGCATGAGTATTTGTTTTATTTGTTGTTTTTTTTGCTTATGCCACAAAGTTTGTGCAGTGCTTTTCAATTAATATATATATATATATATATATATATATATATATATATATATATATATATATATATATATATATATATATATATATATATATATATATATATATATATATATATATATCATAACATTTTTAAATAGTAGATGCAAAGCTTTTAAATTCACAGTATATGTACCAGTTTGTTAAACCCTGATCTATAAGATAGGACAACTTTATTTAGTTAACTATAATTCTTGTATAGTCTCAAACAAGTGTAACTTCCATTTTGAAACATTATCTTAATACTTTTGCAGGTTTTAAGTACAGTAGCTTCAACTTAATCGCTTGGTAATACAACAAGATATAAGTTGTTTGTAACTCATCTTGTATATATGTATTTTACCTGAATAAACATTTGATTTGATTTTTATTTGATTTGAGGTTATTTCTTCATTACTGTCAGCAGGACCGGCACGAGCAGCAGCGGCGGCCAGCGTATGTTGGGGGGCCCAACCAGCAGCAAGGATCAGCACCCCAGGGCGGGATATCCGGCTTTCTCTCCTCCATTTCCAGTCAATTGTCCAATGTTTTCAACATTTTTGGTTGAGGGAATCTCCTCTGCAGACGGTTTCTGTGTGACGTGAAGACTCTGGAGTATTCTGAGCTGCTCTGACCAGTGTTGAGTTAGGAAGGTGGCTGGCGTGCTTTCAGCATGAACAAAATGTAATATTCAATTCTTGAGCGACAAGGCGAATACATCATTAAATTTATCACTTGTTGTGAAGCACACACTCAGGTCTCGTGTAAATGGATGCACAAAGAACCAAATATATTATTGTAGTGCGGTAGTGAGAGGATGTAGCTGCCCAATAGTGCGAAACTGAAATGCTGTTTGTAGTGTTTGTTTATATTATTATAGGAAAATGTGGCATTAGGCTAAGGTGGTCCGATCCTGATGTGTTCAGCTCCATACATTTCTGGAGCTCATGAAGTAGATCCATGCCGTGGTTATTTGTACTATTGTTAACAATAGCCTGTAGTTATTGTTAAGGTATGTTTTGCTTTAAAATATGTGTGAGTTGTTGATTAAACCATCTTTTTCTATCGAGGTAGTTTATAAACCAGAAGTACATGTGGACTGCCTGTAGCCAGGACAAAACAGCTCACATATAATTCATTAACATATAATTATTATGTTATAATATTATAACATCTAATATTATAATATATCACGAATCATAACACATAATTTATGTTAAGTGTACAGGGAGACTTCTCACTCTCAGTTACCTCCTTAACATTGCACTTGTTGAAGCCTAGCGTTTGACTTATAAACTGACAATTCCATTATTATGATATTTGATATAATAAAAGAAGAATATTATTAGTATTAAATTTTGACTGAACTGAGTGTTATTTGTTATGGCTGAGTGCTACATTCGTTGTGTAGGCAGGACCAACAACGTTTATCAGTGTCATAATAGCAATAATTATTCTGGGTTTTAATTTGTTAGTTAACATTTTTTATTGATAAAATATTACGAGGAATTGCATAATGCCTACATACAAACTAAGAACTACAAGGATGATAAAATTAGCATAATTTTGCAGAGTTGGCAGACATTATTATTATTAAATAAATCCAACAGAAGCCTAGATGAGGGGTTCGAACCTATGCGCTGGGTGTTTCCAGGCGTGCTCTAGTCGACTGCACCATGCCTGGGAACACCCAGCACATAGATTCGAACCCTCATCAAAGCTCCTGTTGGTTATGTTAATTGATATATCATGTCAATGGGATTTATCTATGTATTATTATTATTATTATTATTATTATTATTATTATTATTATTATTATTATTATTATTATTATTATTATTATTAAGGTGTCAGCTACTTTTGTGCACACAACTGACCACAGCCCACGTCTGCCTTCCATTAACTGCCTTCTTATATAGATGTAGAGTTGATGGTCCATGGCCTCAGAAACACAGCTTCCTGATGCACTGGTGTTCTGATCCCAGACTGACAGTGTTGGTTCCTTTATAAACAGTAATTCCTCTATAAAAGACTATGCTATGATACTATAAAATATCTGATTTAAAATAAATATGTTACGAACTTTAGCCATGTGATACCTTTGAAATATAAGATATTGCTAGTCTAGGGAGTTTATTTATCTTGGTCATGTTGCACTAATGCAACCATTCAACATTTAATGTGTCACAATACTAATTACGTAATGAGTTCCTGATCTCTGTCCATATCACATTAATGAACTCTTATTAGTGTTTCTAGAGCTGAACCTAGAATCAAATATTTATTTTGTGCGGCAGTTGGTGTTCAGAACATTAAGTTCTGCGCATCACAATTGTTGTGAACATTTGCAACTTCAAAATTATTGCATTAACGATTAAACTTTTGGTTTGACAGTTTAATGATAGCTTCTGTATCACATGCAACACAATTAGTTAAAAATCAGTAATTATCAGTATCACTTTAGGCAGTTGTGCATAAACATTTATACCAACGCAGACAGTTTGAGAGAACGTCAGCCAGAAATAAGGCAGGTCAAATTAGTCATCAAAAGTGAAGCAGAAAATGACAACCATAAATTGGATTTAATTTTTGTTGTCAATGACTCGCCTTTGACCCCCGAAAATTTCAGTAGCATGTATTTTAAATGTGACTGATGAATCCTGTGGTGTTTAAAGGTATAAATTCAATCAATAACTAGAATAGATGCATAAATCAGTTTTGGTTTTAAAACAAAAACGTTTGGCTAGAGCCCTAACTGGTACAGGTGAAGACGGACACAGCTACAGAGTTGTGGAGTAGTTAGTGTCATAGGTGTAAGAGGGACGTCATAACCACATCACGGGTGATTATGACGTAGGTGACTGTTGGCAAAGCTATTGTCTTCTTCAAAAGAAAAGTCGCTTTTGGCCGTTTGCCCGTATGGCCGAATATGGACGTAATTTGAAAATGAAAAAAAAATGAATATAAATTTGGGATTTTTTTTTTCAACAACAGTAAGTTAAGGGTCCTCTGATAGGTTAGGTGGGCAGGAAATTCTCATAAAATTTCAAAACGGTATGAAAAACGTTGATGGAAAGAATCCTTTTCTAAACTGGTCGAGTAAGCTGGACGACTCAAACAGAAAACGGGACAGTACATCACTTTTGTGAGTCGATTTCATTTCAAATTGAGTCCAAACTTGGCCATAGCGCGCATACGAGCGAAAAGTGACGTTATTTTTAAGAGGACGGGTTGACATGTGACCTCCGGTAACTGGTAGCATAATGTTGCATGTGATAACATATGGGCAACATGTTAATTAAATAAACTTTAAATAAGATAAATAATTAAAACTTTTCTGCAGTGAAACAATGATGAAAAAAATATTAATCTTATTTAAATCTTCCCTCTGTCAGCCAATATAAGCAGAGGAAAGTTGGTCAATAATTAACGTGTGTAAATGATTTATGGCCATTTGTTACAATGCTTTAAGTAATTGTGTTTATAACCAAGCATCTGATACAATGGGTTAAGAAAGACAAATTGCTATGCATTATACAACTAAGTTCGACGATACTTTGGTTCTAAACACCAACAAATTATCATGGGCGTCATGTATTCATTAGGTCACTGCCGAATTAGTCTCATTTGAGTTTTAATATAATGACTAAGATTCATCACCTGTGAGTAGTGATCATTATTTTGACTGATATATCAAGTTTGGTTATGTAGGTTCTAACTTGTGTGTGTGTTTATATTACTGTGTTTAATAAACAAGTACCCCATCATTATTTATACTTTTATTTACAAGCATCGTCAAGTATTCATCATCTTTCAGTAAACAATCTTGTAAAATCGACACAACATGGGTTTGTTAAAAATAGATCCTGCCATTACAATCTTGCTCACATTTTTGGAAACGGTAATCAGCTATTCAGATTGGTAGCAATTTCCTGATGCACATCAGGAAACGGTAACCGATGTATATTACATCAGTTGATGTAATATACATGGATTTTGCTAAAACCACATGAAAGGAACTGGCGAAGAAATTACAGGCCCATGGAATAAGTGGAAGAATAGTAGAATGGATAAAACAATGGCTAAAACACAGAAAACAAAGAGTGGTGCTAAACAAGAATGAATCTGACTGGAGAAATGTGGTAAGTTGGGTGCCACAAGGGTCTATTTTGGGGCCAACCCTTTTTGTCATATACATCAATGACAGATGAGAATATTACAAACCACATCATCAAATTTACATATAACACAAATATTTATGGTAAACTGGGAAATGATAATGATGTGTGCACAGTGTGAGATTTTTTTCTACGCCTACCTCCCTTAGGAGGTGGACTACAAGTTTAAAGTCTGCTCACGGCAGTTAAGCATGAGTCCAATAGAAAAAGGAAAAGCGGGAGCAAACCGCCAGGCCTCCACCACCAAGGGTGAAAACCTGTCCACAATAGGCCGCTGGCTCCTCCTAGTTAAACAGGACGTTAAAACTAATAAAGGGTAACCGACGGGTTCTCACAATCAAATATTTATATTTAATGTGGCGCTATGAATTGGAATTCGAATTCCCAAGAACAGCCGTCATATCAAGATCACATCAACATTTAATAATAATATGCAGAAATATGGTGGAATAATATGATTGAAGGGTTGACATCAAAGACCGTTTTCTATAACATAATTTATTAATAACAAGAGACTAACTACTACATTACCGAGTTTACGTTACGTTAATGTCCATCCAGTGGCACGATAACAAACAGCTAAATAGCAACCCTTGCTGTGAGGCTGCATACTGAACTAACCTGAACACAGGTGTACCTACTGATGACGCAATATTGCAAATCAAAGAAAAAATATCACAGACTAAGTTACACCACAGCGAATGGTTACGTTATTGTCCAACAAGTGGCATTTGCAACACAGCTATTCAACAGCCCCTCGAGAAGTGACAGCAGGCTCCATCTTGCTAACACTTCGGGCTGACAACATGAACTAACTGGACAAATGAAGGATATCCACTGAAGACACAAGCATGCAATCAATAGTGTCTCGGTTTCCCTGACAGCTACTATAATCACAAACTTAGGGGTCCTCCCGCCCCCCAGGAGAGACCCAACGTAACTAGGCGGGTAGTCCAACAGTGACCCCCCCTATCACAAACCAGTGTGAACACTCTTTGCAACTCCCTACAAGAAGTTGCCCTGTTGTAAACAGTAACAAAGACAGGCAAGGTGGGATTCTGGGACACAGCTCCACAAATCCCTAGATTACTCTACTCTCATCACCAGACGACAACCAAAGAAATTGCCTTAAGTGATTAATTACGTTAATTGACTGATCGCAGCAGTCAGCAACAAAGTACTATGGTAATCACAAACAATTGTCTCACACTAGACAACATCATGATGATACTCTACGTTAATAATTAACACTTGTCTCTCTTGTTAACAATAACTCAAACTTATATTACATCACACTTGACTCCTAGCAAGTATTCAGTAATTCTTAATTAAGGTCAAACGGACCACTAATTACATCCCCATTGAGTTATGTTAACTAAGCCTACCCTAACTTGGTAGCTTCTCAACAGTCTGTGTCAAAAAATTACTAGTGAGTGTTAATTACCCTAATTAATGCTGAACAATTAATTAACTGTCACCAGGACCGATAATTAATCATCCATAAATACGTCTCACTCCGAACTGCCTAAGCAGGTCTCATCAAACACTGTGAATTCACGGGAAAGGAGTTAATTACCCCTAATTAACAAGATGTGCCACTAATCCACTGTCCTCAGACAGGATATGATTAATACAACGATTTATGCTAGCTCCATGACCTCGCTTTACCAGGTCATCGGAGCTCTCCAATGTTAATTACTCCACTAATTAACATGAGCCACTAATTGCTATACCCCAGAAAGGTAATTAGTCTCGAGCAAATTACGTTAACACAAATACTGACAGACTCTGACAGATCCTCTCCCACTACGTGAATTCATGATGAGAAGGCTAATTGCATAATTAGCTAGAGTGGTCAATTAGTTGTCACATGGACAATTAATTGCTCCCGAGACGTATCTCACTCAAGCTCAACGCTGTTCTCTCTCATAACAGCTCTCACTCACTCAACAATAAGTGTGCACCCCTTATCCAATTAATTCCCCAATTATTAACTCACTGAATCCTTAAGTCCTCAACACAACTTAAAGAAACAAAGCAACCCCAGTGTTACATAGGTCACACTACAATGGCATGCAACATCACAAATGCACTGCCCACATATGGTTGCGGCTACTGCAACTCGTTAATTACTGTGCCCACACAATAATGACACACGGTTGTGCAACATACAAGAGTATACCAAAATATTACTGCCCCCCCTCTTTTTCTTGCAACCGTTGCAAAGGACTACTGTGAACACACACTTACCTCAGCAAGGCAATTAACCCATCAATTGTCTGCTCTCATTAAGCACTGTGAATTCCCCTGAATAATCCTAGAGGTCCCTTAAGCCCTCAATACAGTCCCTGGGGCAATAATATCGTATAACTGATAACACTGCACAAACCTGCAACATAATGATGCCATCAGCATACTCCACATGCTAATGACATCATTAGGCAATCAGTCAGCAATCACATCTACTGACTTACCACACAACACAGTACATAAACATGCAAATGAACACATAGAAATGGCATTCACATAATCAATGAAAATTATATCATCAGGTAACTGTATCTCTAACTACACAGGCCTCAGGGGTATCCACTGACATCCCTGCAACCTGGCCTGCCTACCTCTAATGATTATAATTTTACATGCTGGTACTCTATGGCATTAATCCAGTCTGAACGATTATATAGAATCGACAGGCTGGATCACTTACATGGTAAATCTCTACCAACAGGGTGGAATTCAAAGTCCCACAGGGGCCTGTAATCTTACCACAATTACACTGCCCTGAATCCACCAATAGTCAATAGTTCTACATTAGACAGGATATTCAAACCACCTGTTACACCATGAGGCTCTGCCAGTTGCCTCATGGGTGCCCACTGTCTCTGAGGCTATTTTACTGGTCCTTCCGTACCTCGTTGGCCCTCGAATTTCACGAAAATTGGGCCTAGACACAACCCGGAATGGCGGGAGTGCCATCCCTGCTAGACAACACGGTAACGTCCGCGATTAGCGGGGTGGAGGGGGAAAACTCCCCCCCTCCACCCAGACACGTCCTCGTCCACCTGCTACCCTGCTCAGACTGCCTCTATGGCGGGCAGGGAAACTCAAATGCCCATATCTCCCCCCCTACCTTGTCTTGACCAATCAGCCCAAAGCCGGCACTGCTCCCTCGTGCCGCTCCCAATCACAGCTCTTCGCGCCAAAACTCGGCTTGGAGCACACTTGCCTACTCCAATCACAGGCCTCAGGCATCCCGTGACGTCACAAGGAGCAGGAGGCCTAAAGACAATGGCGCGATCTCTCACATGTTGGGGGGGGGGGCAACGTTCACCCCACTCTCCCCCCACCTCTAACGGTTTTAGTCAAGTATCCTCCTCATCCTATTTCACAGAAACAGAAAATTCTCTGTAATTCTCTCTACAGAGCAATCACAGACTTCTGACTACTCACAAATACAATACAATACAATACAATTTTATTTAGGTAAGGTACATACATACAATAAATATTTACAAGGATTGTTTAACTTATTGACTGTGCAGGGAAATAAGGGCAACAAACCCCCTAACAAGACATCCATCCCGGCCAACAATAACAATATCCGTGTTTCTCCGTCTGGAAGCTCTGGGGTCCGGAGTGGCGGGGCTGCCCTCCCCTCCACCCCATTGAGCAAAGGAGCAGAGTCCTCCCAACCCTCTCCTATGAACATGCTAGCATCCCAGTATAATCAACTCAAGCGAGCTTCCGGTCCCTCACCGGAATTCACTAACTGGACCGAGAATCTGTGGTTCAAAAAGTTGTGCCTAGTCCTCGAGTCACAAAATTCTATCATCTTGA